TATCAGTGTAGGACAATAGCGTGTATAAGTCCCAGTACCAGTTAACAATTAAACTCCTATTCCTCAGTCATTAGGTTGCTTAACAGGGACAGTCCTTAGTAATAGACTCAGTTGTCTATTCAGTCTTAGTCTGAAGCACTGCTTCAACCAGTATATGCTCTCAAACCACTGTCAGTTACAGTGGCTCAGTCTACAAGTCTAAGTACTAGTATAACATGTCAGCATTATGCATAGCAGTATCATTGTCAGTAGTAAGTCATAAGTCAAACTCCTGATCCTCAGTCGTCAGGTCCCTTAACAGGTATAGTCTGATGAGACTAAAATCAATTGCCTGGGCTCAGATGGAAGAAATGGGTGTGGAAAAAACCAGGAGAAGGGCTCAGTAACAGGTTGATAGAGGGAACTCTTAAGTTTGGAGGGGGAAACTTGATCATATGGGGTTGTATAGGCTGGGATGGAGTGGGGAGTGGGGAATACATGCAAGATTGAGAGAAATATGGATGCTGACCTCTATGTGAGCATTTTGGATGATGAACTTCTGGCAAGTGTAGAGTATTGGGAGATTTCTGTAGAGAATATGGTGTTTCAGCAGGACAATAACCCCAAGCACACTAGCAAGAAGGCCAAGGAGTGGCTAGAAGACAATGCAGTTAGTACTATGATATGGCCTCCACAGTCTCCAGACCTAACCCCCATTGAACATCTCTAGAGTCATCTCAAAAGAATGTCAGGAGGATATGAGGAGTCATCTAGGGGAATTGGAGAATTGTAAGAAAGAGTAGAGAAGGAGTAAGAGCAAATTCCTGCCTCTGTCTGTCAGGACTTAATTAGGAGTATGCCTAGAAGGGTTGAGGCAGGTTTGACAGCAAAAGGAGGGTATACAAGGTACTAGAAATGTCACTTTCTGTAGTCAAATATACAGGGGACAAAACTATTGCAATGGGTTTAGGGTAAAGATTCATCAATAACTTGGTCAATACCTAATAAAATCATGTGTTTGTGGGGTCTGTTGTATAGCCCAGATCTTAGGCCTTCCAATGGTACCCATAGGTACTATATTATGATGGCTGGTTCATTAGATATAGGCCTAGCAACACAACTATTGCAAATATTACAACACTTTTGTCCCCTAGTATACTACATAGAGACATCAGCAATAGAACCTAGGTGTTCTCTACCTGCTTAACTCAGTCTGCACTCTCTAACTTCCCCTGCTAGGGAAGCTCAGCCTTAGTTGAACACAAACTCAAGTACAAGTCCTCAGTCTAGGACTTGGGCATCATAGCCTTAGGATGCAACCAGTCTGGTGGAACTCCTGATCCTCCATCATTCCAGGTCCCTTAACACTTAGTAAGTAGAAGTAAGCAAAGTGGGTCAGTGAGAATGATAAGTAATCATGAGAAGGGTGAGTAAGCATAGGAGTAGGTGTGGGGCATGTGAGAATAAGAGGATAAATATAGTCCATAGCCTATGTCAGCAAGAGATAATAAAGAAAGAGGACAAGAATTGCCAAGTCATAGTAATACATCAAGATAGTAAAGAAAAAGAAATAGCACTGCATACAAGTGATGTAACACATATAGCCTGTGGCCACTGATTTACTCAGGTGGCAGAATATAATTAGCCACATACCTCTGATTTTCTGAAAGCTGATAATCACAATAATTCTAAGGTAGATATTTGTTTCTAGGATTATATTCTAAGGTAATTCTAGATCCTCTTTTTCACATTTTCCTGATGACTGAAGCCACATTTTCAGTTACTTAGCATGCAAGTTTGACTAGAGCTGACTACATCTGACTTCACTATGACTATAATAAGGGCCATGGAAGCCCCCCATTCAGGTAACTCTGGGATCGAAGCTCATAGGGGGCTTTCCGGGGTCCTTCCCAGACGTGTCGACGACCCGAAGGACGAGACTATGATGGAGCTGTCGCACGATTCTGATCATGGCCCATCAATGTGCCGACGGCGACGATCTCTCATCATTCAGTCGCTGTTAAGCTCTCTCCAAGAATTGCTCTTACGCGCGCCTTGCGAAAGCCAGCTCTTTTTCTACAATCGCAACGATGGCTCGTCCTGGACTTGCCCTCGCGAAATCCCCCAACACTAGTTTGAATACTCTTAGTGATCTCAACCATGACTGTCGTTTCTCAGCCTCGTTGTTCTTTGTCAACGAGCCATCTGGGTGTCGAGCGGGATGTCCGTGGAAGCTTGGTACGTTGCTAGTTTGTACTACTGTTGCAGGCGCGGAGATTGCGGAGGCTGTGATCAGCTGAGAGGGATGCGGGAGGGTCTTGTAGGATTTTGTCTGAAGTGTGTCGGGCGGCGGTCTACTTTTGTTCACAAAAAGGGCCAAACCAGGACAAGCGGCAGAATTGGGCGGCGGATCGTCCTAGTATGGAGATGAGATGCCCATACGTGGCCGCGAGAATGCTCAGGCACATTTTGAAACGGGGCCCCGCCGCGGCGATGCGCCCGCCACCCGCACACTTTCCCGCCCCGGAACCGGGTCAGGGGTCGGCCTCTCAGTCCGCTCCCCGCCCGCTCTTTCTTTTCCTCTCCGCTTTCCCCGTCTGTCTCGTCCTCACCAGCTTTCTCTCCGTACTCACTACCTTCCAGCCCTCGAGCGTATTTTTTCGAGCGTCCCCTTGTGGGTCCACTGGCACCACGCCTCTTGCCTCTCTAGAGCTCCACTCCGTACGTTCCAATCAAAAGAGAAAAATTTGCCCAACGCTAATGTCCTCACCGTGCGCAGGGTCTCCCCGCACGCTCGCTTGAACACTTCAATTGCGATCTTTCCGTGACATCTCCACGTTCACCTTTCTGTATCACTAATTTTCTCGACCGACTAATGCACGCTCCCCATGTCCCTCCTTCTGTTGCTAATGGACATTCGGTCCCATACACTATAAGTAGCAATCCCCCCAATCCAAAGCCGACCTTTAGGGCCGGAGATTGGATGTAAGCATTTTCTTCTCTAGTAAGTGATATGCCCAAAGCGCTCAATTTTCGTCGTGGTCCAGCTGTATAGCGCCATCGTGCGCAGCGCATAACTTTGGGTGTGTAGCTGGCGACTTTGGCGATTAAAACTACTGACACTGACATACCACCCCGCCTCGCCTTCATACACCGATCGACGCGCAATTTACAGAAGGAATCCCACGTGTATTGGATGTGGGAGACCCCGTGTGGATGATACGCAGTCTTTCCTCCTCCCTTCTCTATCGTTAAGTTCCCCGCCAACAACTACGATGTCTCCCCGGTTTGTCGCGCATCCCAACGACAATATGGCTCGCTCTCCTTATGGCACTTCGAACATCCATCGTCTGCGCACCAACAGTTCCCCGAGCTGCTTGCCTACTACCTCTGATGCGCAGGTGTCACATGCAGAGTCCAAGTCGAATACGTACCCACTTCTCACACCCTCTGGCCGAGCCTTGAGTGTCGGCGGTCGCGTCCAGAATGTTTCAGGTGACCCGCTCTCCCCGTGCATTATGTATTGGCCGGACAACGAACCGCTTCCGGAGCAGGGTCAGATTCGTCCGTCTGGTTCTGTCGTCATAACTGTAAGTAGTTGCAATATGGAGGGCACTCTACATGATCCTACATTTCATTGGTTTATTTTCACAGTATCCGCCTATCATTAATACCGGAAACAAGGGGGCTGCAGAAAAGCAGCCGGGCGATTGGATTTGCCATAAGTGCCATTACCTCAATTGGCGTCGCCGAAAGGTTTGCCAGACATGTTTCCCCTGTGGGTATCGGTTCATCATACGCGCGTATGCCTCAACTGACGGCATAATGTAGATGCAGAAGGCAACGGCGATTCTATATCTACAGCTGTTCAGGCTGAGCGAATTGCCCTACTTGAGAATGTTCTCGCGTCCCAGTTCGAGCGGACCATGAAGCCCGACCAGTGGAGTCCTGTCCTAATGCCTCGCGAGGTCCCAGCTCCTATGAGCTCACGTAAGCCGAGCTCTCCCGTGTCGCCCATGTCGCCTATGTCCCCCATGCTGCCTCCGTCCTTCTGGGCAGCCAACCTGCACCGCCGCGCATCCCTTGGGACGGGAGCCCAGGATCACACCATCTACCAGACTACAGACCACGATGTGCGGTCTCCGGTCTCGAACGCTCCCCAGCCCCCGGTCCCCACGACGCCGACGACCCCGCTGCTTCCGTCCTTCTTGCAGGACATCGTCCAGCCGCCGTCGCTTTCGCCCTCAACGTCTACGTCCTCCGCCGAGCTATCGCTAGAAGATCTTGACGACGCGACGCTGCGCTCTTCTCGCTTGGATGGCTACGGAGTTAATCGACCTTACAGTGGCAGCACGTCCTCGTTCTCCCTCCACGGAATCAACAGCATTTGGAAGTTTGATGGGGAAGAAAGCAAGGCGCTCTCTGCGACGCCCGCCAATGCCCGCCCGGCGGCATTCATGAAACAAGCGTGATTGTGATCTTTGAAATGGCAAAGTAAACTGTGCGTAAATGGCCCTGTTCTTGGCGACGTCGCCGCTCATCCTTGCGCAGAATATGTGTCAAAATAATGCAGCTGGTTTCTGCGGTGTATTTTTTTCTCCTCGTGTTGTAGAAGCAAACTTAGGATACATTACCGCGGTGGAAGGCTAAAGGACAATGTATCGCTGGAAATATCTTGACACCGATGTATCTGCTATGTACGGCGAGTCGATATACATTAGTTGTCCCTCTAGCGATGGATCGGGAGTAATGCGCCCGACTCCCATGGTCCCAACTATACAATTCTGTTTTTAATAATGTATTGTCGGTTGCTCACTGAAAGAAGCATGGCTAAATTAATTTTCTGGCGCTCCAAGTCGCGGAATATATCGCAGACGCGCAACCTCGAGGCAGTCCAATTGAGTAATGGTGATTCTATGAATGCTACAACAGAAAAAGTACAACATGCAGTCACTTCCTCAGTAATCCAAGTGCTACAATGGGCCAAATTATTCTTTGCGAAGCTTACGAGGCGTTGAGCACGCGCTGGAATGCGGCAGGCTTCTTGAGCCCAGCCTCGATGAAGTTCATGCGTCGTTGGCGCACCGCCTAGCGCCGATGTGAGCGCAGGGTATTGCACGGTGTGAGCTAAGACGCACCTGGTTCAGCTTGTCGAGCATCGTAACGGTGGTTTGCCAGTCGACGCAGGCGTCGGTGATGGAGACACCGTGCTTGAGCGCGGATGGGCCCTCGGGGGGCACGTCCTGGCGACCAGCGTTGATGTGAGACTCAATCATCACCCCGGTGATGTGCTTCTCGCCCGCAACGAGCTGCTCGCAGATGTCGTCAATGACCTTTGTCTGGTTCTCGTGGTTCTTTTGTGAGTTGCCGTCTGCATAGCGACCATTAAGCCATACGCGGCGGGGCACGACGTAGAGCGCACTCACGACTGCAGTCCACCATGATGGACGGGTGGTTCTGGGGACGAGCCTTCTCAATCCCAGACGCCGCCGCCTTGATGTGGTCGGACGCGTAGTTGGGGCCCTTTGTGCCACCGCGAAGGATAACGTGCACGTCCTGAGGAAGCGGTTGGCATGCTGCACTGAGATCCGCCGTGGGCTGCTTACCTGGTTCCCGCGTGTCTTGACAATAGCAGCCAACCCCTGTTCGGTGACACCCATGAACGCATGCGGGTTCGAACTCGCCCGCATGGCGTCAACCGCTACGGTTACCTGTGCAGGAAACGGTCAATAATTGTCCATATTGCCTGTAGGTGGTAGGGAAACCCACACTACCGTCTGTGCCGTTCTTGAATCCGATGGGGAACGACACACCGGACGCAAGCTCACGGTGCAGCTGGGACTCGGTGGTACGAGCACCAATGGCTCCCCAGGAGATCAAATCAGAAATGTACTGAGGCGAGATGGTATCCAGCAACTCGGAACCCACGGGAACTCCAATGTGCGTCAAGTCGCAGAGCAGTTGGCGAGCGAGGCGGAGACCTTTGTTGATTTGGAAGGAGCCATCGATGTCGGGGTCATTGATCAAGCCCTTCCAGCCAACAGTCGTGCGGGGTTTCTGTGGACGGAGATTCGAGTCAGAACGCACGGGAGGTCATGATGGGACGGAGGCCCTTACTTCGCTGTAGGCGACATGAATGAGCGATGAGCCGCGGAAGTCAGAGACACCAGTTCACTCACAAGTAAGCTCTCATAACGATGTGTAGGTTAGTCCACTCTGGGATTTTCTCCTTCAGCAGCTGGGCGTACTCCATCGCCTGGGCTGGCGAGTGGATCGAGCAAGGGCCTACAATCACCAATACCCTGTCGTCTTGTCCAGCCAAAATTCGCGCGGCGGCGAAACGTGCGGCAGCGATGGTCTTTTGAGACTCTGGGCTGGATTGGATCTCATGGCGGAGCAACGACGGCTGCACCAGAGGGTCGTACTGAGGGCACGGTGAGCACGATCACTGCAATCGAGACAAGAAACATACCCCGATGACACGACGATCCTGGATATACCTCTGGATTTTCTCCGTATCGTCCGGGATGGGAGTAATAACGTTCGTGTTTCTGAACATGGTTCTGTAATGTACGAGAGGGAAAAAGTGAGTAGGTGCTCGCTGGTGGAGGAGAGTGGGTCAGGATCGAGGTGGTGTTGACTCGAAGTTTTCTACCCGTCTTTATATACAGCCAGCAACAGCGAGCGGCATGGGACGAGTTGATGAGAAGGAGAGAGGTGGTCGAGTCATGCCGCTGATTGACCGTGCAGTCCGGAGCGCACGTTGAGGACAGCCCGGGCAGTCTCCGCGGGCGACCGGCTAGACCCTCTCCTCGACTCAGCTGCCACCTCCCCGGGCTACACACGTTGTTCGTCTCGTCTGCCGCGCCCGGCTGCGACTGAATCACACCTCGCAATGCAGACCCTACGAGTCTCCCTCGCTCCCTCCCCGGGGTTCTGCATCAAATCTGTCTCGCTACAGGACGCCGTGTGCAAAATCACTCCTCCCCCTCCGCCCGCGTCTTCCAAACTAGAGGGTCCCTCTGTTATTCATGCCGTCCCCATCCCAAAAGGAGCCAAGATCTTTGTGAACATTGCCTGGGACCGCAATGTCCCTCCTCCGCCGGAGGGATCAGAAGACGTAATTCAGAGAGCGATGCTGGGGGAAGACCCAAGCGACGGCAATGACCAGGACTGGTTTGTCCCTGTGGTTGTCTCCGAGCCACGGGAAGATCGAGACAAAGGTTCGTCATGAGAGAATCCGCTTGAAGACCATGACAACGGTGGGGACCATCCCCGCTCCTCAGTGTTAACCAACCCTGCAGAATGTCATCTAATACATCCATGTGTCATCTTCAGCCGGCAAACCGTCTGTCGTGTTTGACTGCGTGTATAATTCCACATTGAAGTCGCGCGCATTAAAAGATCCCGAGTTCAAAACGTTCCTCATCGGTAAGTTTTACTCGTCCTACACGAGTGAGTTGATGTCATGGTGTTACCCCTCCACATCAACAGAGCTAGCGTTCCAGCGGATCGAAGCCCAGCATGGTGTACTGCTTTCGCGGCAAATTGGGACTCCCAATATCAGATCCAAAGGCGAGCTGCTTTCCCGAACCGTGTTGATCCCTGCTGCGCTCTTTCCGGAGAACAGTCCAGCCCGCAAGACTTCCGACTCCAAGGCTGAAAGTGTAGCGCGCAAACTCATCGAAGAGGTTGATCCGCGGCCGACTCCCCCGCAGAAATCAACCAAGGACAAGCCTGATGGGCAAGACGAATACCCCACTGCGGCTACTCCGGGCCCAACATCCCTACCCAGTCCTGACTTTTTGTGGTCGAGAGGAATTGAAGGAGTGCATATATATGTCCTAGTTCCCAAGCTTGTTCGTGGAGCTGATCCATCATTCGTGATTTGACTCTCCCTCACTATTATCTCTAGACACATTCGCGCGTTCAATCCGCAACGCTGGACATTGAGCCTCGGCGAATCATTTTTCACGTACCCGACCTCTACGCGCTCGACCTGAACCTCGACATGTCCGACGCTGAAATCGGACAAAACGCACAGCTCTCGGAAAAGACTGTGGACCAGGCACTTACTCTGAAAAGACAGCGAGAATTTGATGTGGATCGTGCCCGCGCGCAATGGAACGTAGCAGAAGGACAGCTTATCATACATGTATAGTCAGGTTGCACGTTCTGAGTGTTCTAGCGGCTGTATGAATACATGAAGATATCTAGGATGCATAGATCTTTTCGCATATTGGAGAACGTAGCTGAGATGTCGAACTGCACTCAAGTCACAACTACGATGGAGATCAGAAGCTATCAGTGGGCGCTATATACTACAATAACAAGTGAACAACGGATCCACAAATTGAATCATAATGATAGTGTCCATGGCCTTATGCCGACATACAATAATCATGGATTATGAGCCCGCCTTACCCAATAGTGCATAGCCACTTCCTTGAGGGCCATACAGCTATAGCAGACACATCAGTCTGATCATCCAAAGGGCGTGTAATGTGGCAACGGACCTTGCTGTAGCATCGGTGACAAAAGGGGTTTCCATCCCTCTCCGTAAGGCGGGTGGAGTCGAGATGAGTGTTGCACTCAGTGCACCGCAAGCACCCTTTATGATACGTCTTGCCGATCGCTTTTGCCTGCTCTGCAAAAAAAACAGTCTTCCCGCACTTCGGACATACCGGCGTACCCCCTCCCCACTGCCTCCCCGTCATAGCAGGCGCCATCGGACTAGCGTTGCCGCCGGACAGTGCCATCCCATATCGCGTTCCTGTGCTAGTGGGAACGAGCGATGAGTACATCGGAACTCCAGTATCGGAAGGGTACACAGGTGCGGGCGGCTCCGGAACAGCCGCACTCTCTCCTTCACTAGGCATATCTTTGTCACTAGTGACATCGCTGTTGAACCGGTTCCGTACGGGACTTAAGGGCACAGTCCGCGGAAGGCCACCTGCGCCGCGACCTGTGTGCGTCGAAGTTGTGCCTAGTCCGTTCGTTTGAAAATTTAGTCCTCCATTCATATCTTGCACCTCGTCCTGTTCGTCTAGGGCGCTCTCGATAGATCGTGATCGGTCCGGTGCGGACCCACGAGTGGGGCTAAGCGTTCGTGTCGGTCTTAGCATTGGAGGCGCAGGAGAGGACGCCATGAAGGGGGTTTTATCGATGGATCCGCCGCCAGTCGCATGCCGTCTCATAGGCAGCGGAGGCGCATTATTGCTAGATGCACGAGCGGGTGGCGAAGCAGCGCGACCGAATGTAGCCGCACGATTAGGAGATACGGGCGGAGATATTGAGGAGACAAAAATCTCGTCGCGGTTGGGTAAATTCGCCAAACGCAGGTCTCTCGTCCCGAAAAGCTTGATATGGCAGTTCTTGCTGCACGCTGAATGTGAGTCAACTCGATACGAAACAAAGGGTTGATACATACCAATAGGGCTAATGTGCGGAATAAGATGGGAGATTGTACTTCAAGCGAAATGCTGTTGCTCACCTCCTGGTCGTGCTCAACTAGGTTGTAGGAATCTAAGCGCTTCCCGCACGATGTGCATGTCAAGCATGGCTAGTCGGGTGAGGTCATTGTTACGCCATGGAGGTATGAGAAGATGCAGAAGCTCACTTTATGATACAGCTAGTATAGAAAAGCAGTCAATGGTGTTGTAAGCTGAACCTAAATCGCTAATACTCACTTTGCGACCCGGGCCCATAATCTTAATGACTTTCTGAGTATATGCAGATCAGAAGGAATAAAATAGTAAGCACCTGCTCTGCAGCATATACCGCTTTGTTGCATCTTGGGCAAATGGGTGTCCCACCAAAAGGATGCATAACGACGATGGTGTTGTCGAGAGTGGCGACCGTGACGCTGTGCGCCGAGTTACCTCAGCCTGGGGCCCAGCACTAGATGAGGTAGGGTTACATAAGAGGGCCCGGGGCGGAGATTACCGGATTCTCCCACGAATGGTTCGGAGATGGAAAATTGATGAAGATGGCATTTTTCCGGTGAACGTTAGCAGCGCCCGTTTCCTCCTCAACCTCTTCTCGCTCTAGACAACCCCTCCCTCCCTTCCCACTTTCTACGACTCCATCATGTCTGACGACGAGCAGCACAACCACAACTTCGAGCAGGTTCGCCTCTCCCCTCATGCATTAGGGGTCCTGTGCTCACCGTCGCAACGGCAACCTTGAACAGGCCAGTGCTGGGGCCTCCGCCACCTTCCCCATGCAATGTTCTGCTCTCCGCAAGAACGGGCACGTCGTCATAAAAGGTTGCAAGGATCTTCTCGAGGTCTGATCGTCGCTTATGGGTGCGCCCAGGTCGTCCCTGCAAGATCGTAGAGATGTCCACTTCCAAGACTGGCAAGCACGGTCACGCTAAGGTTCACTTGGTCGCCATCGATGTAAGGATTAATTCTGCTACGTGTCAAGCTTATGCCTAACACTTCGTTAGATATTCACCGGCAAAAAACTCGTGCGTACCGCTGTGTCATCCATCGTAGGACACTTCTGATGCTTGTCTCGTTCTCCAGGAAGATATCTGTCCCTCCACTCACAACATGGATGTCCCCAATGTCTTTAGGAATGAGTACCAGCTGGTGTGTTCGGTCCTAGTTCATCTGGCCTGCTTGCTCATCTGTTACAACACGTATCAGGTCAACATCGATGATGGCTTCTTGAATCTGATGACTGCTGATGGCACTGCTAAGGATGATGTCCGAGTTCCCGAGGGTGAACTTGGTGACCAGATCTCTGGTGGATTTGATGAGGGCAAAGATTTACTTGTCACAATTGTCAGTGCTATGGGCGAGGAGCAGGTGAGTCGCTTTCATCTATAATGTTATGCCTAACACCGATGGCATGATCGGCAGGCTATTTCTTTCAAGGAGGCTCCCAAAGGCTCTTAGTTATATGTAAGCTGTTGTTTCTCGAGTTCTCGAGTCTCTGTCTGACGCTTTGTTTCAGGTAGCGTTTATACTGTTCATCTGGGTCGTATATCTCTATCCGTCGGTTGCCCACCCGCTATTGTCTCTATTAAGCATCAACCCATCGTAGCAGTACCTATCCGTCGTGCATGTACAATGTGATGTTAGTATTCGTCCATGTACCTCATTCCTTTTGTTAGCGTTTAGACAATGCAGTTGCGGATATCATCGAACATGAGTGATTTAGAGACAGAAAGAGCTTAGAATACACAGACAACGCCAGCTGCAGAAATCATTCAAGAGTAAGGCTACACTTGTGTCATTGAACTGGGAATTGCACTACAAGATGCCAATCATACGATCTATATAATGAATGTATGACTAAGATGACTGCACCCTACATGGTATTGATCACATAGACGCTACCGCAGGCAAGGACTAAGGCCATGAACACGGTGAAAACCGTAGCAGGGACACCAAGTCGTTGTTCAAATGGACCATCCCAATCCGTAGGAAGAGTCAAGGTGATCTCTGAAGTGGGAACAGTGACATTGACGGCATCAAGACAGGCGGTCTGGTAGGCTAGACGGGGATGAATCTCGGACCAGAATCTCGTAAGAGCAACACCTACCGGTCAGCGCAGTGGCAGAGCCAGCCCTGGGATCTACCATTGGCAAATTCTGGGCGATCAACTCATCGAACATACATTGCTCGCAGGCCGTAATGAGAGTAACCGTCGCGCTATCGCAGAGGCAGGTGTTGCTTGTACCGCATGCCTACGACGTGAATCGTCAACAACCATATATACCGGCGCATGCGACAGGGTAAATCACCTGAATAGCTTTGTTGGCCGGAGAACATTGTGTTTGACACTACATTGCAGAACACAATATTAGCGGGATCGCAGGGGCGATGCATGGAAAACACAGACAGCATTCGTTAAGTTGGCGTCGTTGACTGTAAGGAACTGGCTGGCGGGGACAGTCCCCACGGACCCACCGACACTGATGTTTAAAGCAAGTGCTAGAAAGAGAATGGCATCGTTGGAGATGGGAGATGCAGCGCAAGAGGCTCAGCCGTACCTCGACTTGCGAGCAAGGTGACCAGCAAGAAGGTAAAGCTCAGGAACGAACGCATGGCGAGAACGACAGCGGCAATGATTGACGAGGAGCGGAAACCTGAGCAAGCCAAAGCCCTACCGGAGGAGCAGAATGAGAAGAGAGGATGAAGATGAAGATGAAAGTGAAACCCGCGACGGGTCACAGCTACTGCCTTTTGTCGCCCCTGCTGAGTGCCATAGTGACGAGTATCACTGATCCGAAGTCCAGCCTGCCACACGTCACACATCATACAAAGCTCTGGCCGCACAGGAGTAGCCTCCAGGGTATTTACACACAAGCACGTAGCGATTATCACGAATCATGCACAATAATACGACCGAGAGCAAATATGACGACAAATCCTGTTCAGCCTGTAATGTCCCGATCCACTCAGCCTTTCTCACCCCGACCTCTCACTGATGGTAAGTTGATGTTCACCCCTGTCTGCACGCTACTCACCCTGCCCCTTCGTACCACAAGCGGTTCATGGCAACGCTTCTGCTCGAAATCCCACGTCGCATAAAGGCGCGCATCAGGAAGCGATTTTGCTGGCACATCAACCTCCTTGCCATTCGTGAGGCCTCCATCTTTGCCCTTCGTCGTAACTGCTGGAGCTGGCGGTGTAGACGCGTTCGTGTTCCATGGCGCACTCACTCCAGGTCCGTATGTGAGTTTTTGAGACCCCCGTTGTAGAATTGGCGGATGTGCTAGACGAGTGGTACGATTATAAACAGAGCCCTGCATTGAATTTGTAGGTCAGCATTATGATTGGCTCGCATAAGAACGGAACTCGATGCTTACAGGGAGGACCTGGCGAGCCAGACCAGGAAGTCGAGATACTTGTTGACTGAGCAGTGGCGTAACACGCTCAGATGAGACAACTGGTTTTGGAGGCACCGAGGGTAAATTCGACTTTCGGTCTTTGTCCAAATCCGCTTCCTTGCCATCAGGCGTTGGTGGCAACTTGGATATTGGAACCGGATATGTTGGCCCCATTGCAGTGACGCGCGGAGCACTGGGTACGACACTGGAAAATACAGTCGGTGCTGGGTCCCAGCGGGGACGTACTTCAGCCTCAGAGAGATAGGCTAACGCCACCTTGTAGCGGGAGGGATTGACAGAAGTCACATTGGGGGGCGGTGGATGCGTCAAGACATGGTGATAGGCTCCTAATAGTGCGGGCTGAACAAGAGGCAGAGGCAATGGCGGCTGCAATTGACCAGCTAGTTCATGAGTATCAGAGGGAGGCGAAGGAAGGTGTTGCGATGGCTGTGATGCAAGTAACGACTGCGAATAAGGAATTGGTGTAAGATAATCTGCCGATGATGTGGATGCGGCAATTGGAGGAGGAGGGGTCGTGGGTCGTTCAAGCTTGACTACATTCGAGGGAAGAGGAATATCTTGCGGAGGAGTAGGAGAATGTCGCGGGGAGTCTGTGGGGAATGGAGGAAAGTGGTCGGGTATGTAAGAAGGTGGCCTCCATTTCGCTGTACGCTGTCGTTTACGGGGTGGTGTAGAGGGGTTAGAAATAGGTGACAGTGGCAGAGGTGGGGATACCGGTGGTGGTGCATTGAGATTATCCTGTCTGCTTCTCAGCCATGCCGACTCTTCAGAAGCGGAAACATCTACATCCATTCCATCAAGGGTGCCCTGGAGCCCTTCCCCTAGGAGACCTTCCTCTTCGAGTTCACTAGCCTCTTCGTCGCTGTCGTACTCAGATGAAAACGGACTTGGAACACGCGCGTATACAAGTGAGATAGCATCGTCACGATCCTCCTTTAGACCATATTGAAGGGAAGCTGGGACAGACAAGAAAGTGAAAACGAGCAGTGCGCAAAGCACGACTCGACTGACCCTTGAATTCATTCAAGTCTTCTACTCTCCTCGCGGAACGGGTGTTGTAACGCGCTAGATCCCTCCCTTCCACTGCACAATATTCACTCAGCTCATCCACACCAACACCTAGCTCATCCAGAGCGGACACCGCGTCCCTGAGACTCAGACTCAACCTCCCTGCGTGTTCCGCGTATTTTGCACATGTTGTGGTCAAGAGCGCGAGATAACGAGAAAGGAGGTCGGTTAAGACGAGTGTCGCCTGAGTAGAGGAGCGAGAGAAGCTGTGAGCATGAAGAGTTTCGTGAGTGACGGACTCGAGCAGTTTCTTCGCTCCTCCGTCCATGAGCTTTGGGTTGAGTTGGCGACGACAGTATGGTGGCGGTTGGAGATCTAGGGATCGAGCGCCGTCTCAATATTTTCCCGCTCAGCGGCATGCTAGCACCCTCGATCGTCTGAATAGCGACTTGTTGTTTCTTCTCCGCTTTCGTCATCATGTGTGGCCGCTACTCCCTGGGTGTTCCGGTCAGTAGTGTGAATTTCCCAAGAGTTTATTACAATTAATGCCTCGCAGCATGCCGAGGTACAACAATTACATGGATACAATGTTCATGTCGGTGAATGGGTCGGACAAGATGACTTTGTACCCAGGTGCGCCCACGCACTGTCCCTCGTCTAACCAACTCACATCTACTGTAGACACAATATTGCACCTCGTTCTCAGGCGCCTGTTTTACGTCGAAGGGAGCCCAATGAACTCGAAGAAGCCGGAGAGGATACCTCGTCTGCCCCCTTGATTCTCCAAACTATGAAATGGGGACTCGTTCCTCATTGGTCAAAACACGAGGACAAGTCCATGAATACGACAAATGCTCGATCTGAGAACCTTGTCGAGCGTGGTGGTATGTGGGCAAGCATTAAGGGCAGAAAGCGTTGCGCTGTTGTATGTGAGGGGTAAGTAAGACTCATATACCCCTGTTGGATTTTGTGGCATATGCTTGTCCACCAGGTATTTTGAATGGTTAAAGAAGGGGAAGAACCGTTTTCCCCATTTTACAAAGCACAAAAGTGGCAACTTGATGCTCCTTGCTGGTCTTTACGACCGCGCGGTACTTGAAGGTACCGTCGTTGATCTTCATCGTTCCAGGCATCGCTCAAGAAGCTTAGATGAGACGCGCGCTCTATGGACGTTCACGATTGTCACCACCGTTGCTAACAAAGAGTTTGAATGGCTGCATGATCGGCAGCCCGTGATCTTATCGACTCTCGGGGCTCTGAACACATGGCTTGATACTTCGTCGTTACAATGGACGCCTGCCTTGACAAAACTTGTGGACCCTTATAACGACTCCAATTCGCCCTTGCTATGGTAAGCTATTGGGATCTGAATAGGTACCTCTTGCTCATTTTACCAGTTATCAGGTACCTAAGGAAGTCGGCAAGGTTGGGACCGAGTCGCCCACCTTCGTGCAACCCATCTCAGAACGGAAGGATGGTATACAGGCCATGTTTGCGAAACAGAAGGATACATCAAGTCAAGTCTCGCGAAAGCGGCGTAGGGGCGAGAAGCCACCAAAGAAAAATACAGAGTCTGTGAAGGATGCGGCAGATGCAAGCTCAAGCATGCAGAAGGTCAATGTGTGGGAGGACGACTCCGAAGTGGAATATATTGGAACCACCAGGCCATCAACGCCGAAGGTCACAGCCCTACCGTCACCTTTTGTGTAATTTTTAACCCTCCGCAGCAGATTGCAGCTTCGGAGAAGCCAAATATCGATGGTGATGGCGAGGTGTCAACTTCATCTCCCATCAAGGTAGGATCTCTGTAGTCCGAAGCTATGATTTTGAGATTTAGTGTGAATGTAGCGTCCCCGTGTAAAGGGCAGATCTGCAAAGGTAAGATTCAGTGTCATCGTTTGGCCATACAATTGGCGAATATATGCTATTAGGCAAATCTTACCCTTCGGAGTGGAGCTGCTGGTCCACCCCAGGGTTCAAACAAAATCACGTCTTTCTTTGCCAAGACTTAATATATCTTATTGCTTCACCATCAGTTGCGGAATTCGTCTGCAACAATAGCATTATGGCTAGGCGTCTCGGAGACTGGAGCCAGTGCATGGTAGTAGACATACAAAGAGACAGGTAGAGACGAGATAGACGGAGATGAGATGGATGAGAAACACAAACGAGGAAACAGAGGAACTAGAGAGCAAGATGGATTAACACAGAGAAATTAACGGGATCGTGCAATCAAGCAGAACAATGCATTAGAAGCCGAGCAAGGCCACTACTATGTGTCGCCACCGCTTCGTCAATTACTGCCAGTAGCCCTGTTGCTGCCTAGGCTGATATGAGTAGAAGTTACCGGCATCGGAACCGCCTTGGGGGTATCCTAGATGACCCTGAGGACCTTGTCCTTGCGGCTGGTGTTGTTGCGCCTGTTGATTCTGGGGGACATTAGATGCACCAGCCCCGAAGCGCTGGGCAGCGTAGAAGCTTCCCTGAGATGGCTGCTGCACGCTGCCGCGGGTCTGCGGGCCCTGACCCACTCCACCTTGACCGACGCCCACGCCAGAGCCGACGTCTTTAAGACCGGCGTTTGCACCGTACGGTTTATACGCAGCCTCAGGCGATCCACCCCCAGCGCGCTGCCCAAGAGGCCCTGAGGACGGCCCCGTCGACTGGCCGAGCCCCATGAAGCCCTGCATCCCTTGGCTTGCTG